AAAAGGGCAACAGCAACGGCGTGTACTAACCATACAGAAATTTCACAATAAAACTAACGCGATTGTCCCAGCTGTAAGCCATTCTTCTTCTTATTTAAAAAAAAAAAAAAAAAAAAACAACAACTTTAATCCCAAAGGATTATACTTAAATATCAAATTGAATCTTCTATTTGTTAACAAGTGTCTCTTGTTTCCTTCTATATTGTATTATTTGTAATCTTGATAGGTTTGTAAAAAAGTGGGTTTTCTCTTTGATATATTTTGAAAATGCTTCTTCTTCTTCTTCTTCTTTTTAATCTTCTTTCATTTATTAATTTAAATAATCTTCAGTTTCAGGTAACTTTATGTTCTTAGAAATGTTTCTTCACGATGACCACTTGTATCTTCTTCACTCTTTTAAAAGACAAAAAGGATTGTGTGTATGTGTATTTGTGTCTGTGGCTGTGTGTAGAAGAAAAACAGAAAATTCTTCTTTAACGAAGAGAAAGTCGGTCTCGAGAAAAGAGAGGATGGTGCTCTTTGCACTGAACTCAAGACGACTGTCTGGCACTGTTGATTCTAAGTTTAGATTTCTCTTCTTCTACGAGGGAAAAACATTATTAGAGGTGGTGGTAATGGTGGTGGTGGTGGTGGTGGTGGTTGTGGTGTTACACTTGTTACGAGATCAAGTGGGGAATGACAGAAAAGTCAACCAGGTGGTAACGATACTGTTGTCACTGAAATTACACACACTATTCTTATTCTTATTAGTTGTATTAGGTATTCCTAGTTTTATTATATCTAAATGTTTGATCGTTAAAAGTTTACAATTGATTTGTTATAAATTTTCACACGACTCACACAATGGTATTTTAATATTTTGGCCAATTTGAAATTTGTGGTCACGAGGCAAACTTAAAATAATAAATATCACATCTAGAGAACATTTGTGATTGTTTCTAATTTCAACTTAGGAGCTCTGTAACATTTGAAACAACAGTCAGTTTAACTTTGTCTTCTTTACCGATTTACCCAGATTTCTTTTTATATAACATAAACTATATATATATATATATATTTTTTTTTCTTCTTCTTCTTCTTCTTAGCTGACATTTTTCTTTTTTCTTTTGGGATCACACATGATAGAAGATCACGTTCATTTTTATTCTAATTATTTAGAATTGTTTGAAATTTCATTTATTTATCATATTGAACGTCATTTATTAAATATTATTATTGACATCAACTAAATTTATCTTTGAAGTTTCTGATATTTCATTTATTCATTTAAACAAAAGGGAGTCAGGTGTATATAAACGATGACGATAAACGTTTATTGTAAAATACATCAATTTTGCTTTTGATTACATCATCAGAACAGTTTGGCTCTTAGAACAGATACAGAGATTTACGGCGTTTAAATAGAAATAGAAAAGAGGAAAATTCAAAATGTCTTTCATAATGTTTACCAATGCGTTTAACATTATGTTTATTCGATTTAATTAAAGGAACTATCCTAAGCCAAGATCATTAATCAAAATTCATCATTATGTCGTTAAAATTCATGTATCTTGTAATATATTAAATCAACATCTATCAATCTTACTTAAAAAAAAAAAAAAAAAGAAAAAACGTACAAATGTCAATAACAAACTATATTTAATATTACATAACAAATTTATAAATCTATTTCAAAAAATATGTATCAGAAATTTACGTCGATTTAAAAAACACAATTTCAAGACTCTTCTACGAGGCCTAATTAAAAATACCCTACGTAGTAAGTGAGGTTTTTTTCACCGCGTTTATTTACTTTTCAGATCACTCCTATTCTAAAGAAGTTTTCACTTCAAAAAAATTGTAACATACATATATAAGTAATATTATATCAGTGTAAGTAAGTAAGTAAGTAAGTAAGTAAGTAAGTAAGTAAGACACACAAGAAAATAATCGTCATATAAGGCATCATCGTAGTGAGAGGTGTTAGTTTGAAAGTGCGAGCTCTCGTAGGAAGATCGTTTTAAGTCGTGTGATGATCGGTATGAGATCGTGGTTTCATTCGTTGATCGTTACTCTCTTTTGCTTTTCCGGTGAGTTAAATACTCATATACTTTCTTATTAGTGTCGTGTCATTGACCGATTCAAAGAAACAATATTATATTTTGTTAATCAATCTAATTAAATCACATTTTGATATCTACTGATCATTTTTCGATCATCTATGATCATCTATTTGAATTTATAATTCTATGATGTATCAATTAACATATTAAAAATGAAAAACATATCATTTGGAAAGTGATTTCCGCATAGATTAGTACGTCATGTAAGAATAGATCTATTAAGATAATAAAATAAAACTAATTAGAACATTTGGTGACTATAAATCTAAAGAGTACTTCTACTGCGATCTAAAATTGACGATCGATGAAAGATCTACGATGCCTGGTGCGTTCCTTGCCTCGGGCAAAAGTCCATTGACACGTTAACCCACTACCGGAGTGATCAATTCAATAAAACTGAGATCAAAGTTGCAAGTTGCGTATTCCTTTAACATTACAACTAATAAAAATATCAATGAAAAGGATCAATTAAATTTCAACGAATTTCTTATTAATTTTTATGTAATGTAACATTTTCATTATTTACAATGTTTGATTTAAGGATCATAGTTTTAACGTTAAAAGAATTTAAGAAATGTAATAAAAGAAAATGTTATTTATGTTTTTATACATTAAGTGAAAGTTAGTTACATTTGTGCGAATTTCTCTGTGACTTGATATATATATATATTATTTTATTTTATTTTATTTTATTTTTCAGCTATAGCGGTAAAGGCAACGGAAAAAATAAGAAATGCACCTTGCATCGATGACAACAAGTTTTATCGAAATCCTAACACACCTGCTTACAACGTTTGGTCACCCTCCGAATGTGCCAAATATTATTTGTGTTTAGGTAATTTTATTAAATACACAATTTTTCTTTATATATTGTATATTCTATAATTAACAATTGTTTATATATATATATATATTAATTTATTAAAAAATTAAATTTATTTACAGACAACGAAGTATTCGAATTTAAATGCTCGCAAGGATTACTTTTTGATGTGACGAGACAAATATGCGATTATAAAGTGAACGTTGACAATTGCGATGTAACGATTGGTAATTAATGATATTTTAATTCATTAAAAAAAATATTAACGTCATTTATTAAAGTATACTTTCTATATTCAAATCGAGTTCTAGATCGTTTATCGTTATGGACTATTAATCAACGACATTTATAATTTCATTTATGAGAAAGTAAATCGTTTGTTTGCATATCACTTTACTCGATTCATTTTTTAAATGAAAACTTCTTTAGAATAAGTGCGATTTGAAAAAATGTAACGGAGCGGTAGGCGGCGATGTAACGGAGCGGTAGGCGGTGGTGTAACAGAGCAGCTGGCGTTTATAAATCGATCAAGAAACTAAATAAGACAAAAAAAAACATGTAGGATTAAGCCTGCGAAAATGAGACAGAATAATTTTATTGAAATTGAAAAATGACTTTTTCAGAGCCACAATCGCCAAAACCTTTGTTAGAAAATGGCAAATGCGATGAGAAAAGTTTGGCTTGCGGTGATGGAACCTGTCTTCCGGCTTTGTACTTTTGTGACGGAAGTATCGATTGTCCTGACGGATCTGACGAAAGTTGGTGCGGTAAGTTTAAATAATTATGATTATAAATCAATAAAAATTGCATTAATTATATTAAATTTTAAAACAGATATGAGAAATGATCCAAGAGCTGCAATTGAATGTGATGAAAGCAAATGTCAATTACCAGATTGTTGGTGTTCAAAAGATGGTACACGCGTGCCAGGAAATTTATCAATTTCCGTCATTCCACAAATGATTACAATTACTTTCAGTGATGCTATCAATGCTGAGAATTTTGATCTCTTCACAAGTAAGTTTGATTATTATGTTTAATGTTTTAATATTAATAAATTATAATCATTCCCCTTAGAGATATTTTCAAACGATAAAAGGAATCCAAATGGTTGTCCCATTCGTGGAACATTTTATGTTAGTCATCAATTTACTAATTACAGAGATGTTCAATATTTGTGGAATAAAGGTCACGAAATTGCAGTACATTCCATTACGTACGTAAATTGTGCAAAAACTGCAAAAATAATACCTTTTACATTTTATTATTTAATTTGATATTTCGTAGTCATCGTGGACCGGAAGAATGGTGGTCACGAAATGCAACAGTTGAAGATTGGTTTGATGAAATGGTTGGTGTAGCAAATATTATTAACAAATATGCTGCCGTAAGGATTGAGGATATTAAAGGTCTGTCTTTCAATATATTTTCTATAAGTAGAAAGTGAAAGTTAAATTCTCATTGACATATTTGGAATTTATTTCAGGATTACGAGCACCTTTTTTACAAGTTGGATGGAACCGTCAATTTTTAATGATGTTAGAATTTGGATTCGTATACGATTCATCCATAATTGTACCATTTTCAGATACACCATTGTGGCCTTATACTTTTGATTACAAAATACCACACGTGTGCGTACAATCGGAACAGTTTTGTCCCACGCGTGTTTATCCTGGTGTATGGGAACTTCCATTAAACCAATTTGTAGCAGGTGTAAGTAAATCCTCATAAATAATCCTCATTAATTCCAAATTTATATTTGTAAACATTGTTTTCAGGAATACACTTGCGCAACAATGAATTCCTGTCCATCTAATTTATCAGTCAATGAAGTTTACGAAATGTTAATGTTTAATTTCAAAAGACATTATCTTAGCAATCGGGCACCTATGGGTCTTCATTTTCATACATCGTGGTTTCAAAGTTCAACGTATTATCATGCATTTAATGTAAGACATTTCTCAAATTTAATAACATTTTTTTGTTTTTTTTTTTTTTCAGATATTAATTACAATATATTCTTTATCAATATTATTATATACATGTTTAGAAATTTTTGGAAGATTTACTTCGACTACCAGATGTATATTTCGTAACGGGTCATCAAGTTATAAAATGGATGCATTCACCGACACCATTAGATCAACTTCACAAATTTGAATCATGGCAATGCAATGAGCGTCAATTTGAAAAATTTGAAGTTGCATGTGACGTACCTACAACTTGTTCACTTCCTAGTAAAATATTGAAGTCTTACAGAGATTTATATACATGTTTTGAATGTCCAAAAGAATATCCATGGTTGAGAAATGAATTTGGACAAGATTAAACGTATTCGAATATACAGGATATTTGAGATTTATAATCATAGATCATTGAAAACATTTATTCATAGAATTCATTCAAAATTTATGACACTATTTGATAGAAATAATCTCAGACACCCTGTATAATATATATCGTTATCATTTGACATATATTGGAAAGTTTTGCATTTAATATCATTTCGCTGAACTAGATTTAATATAAACATAAGACTGTTATTTATTTTAAAAAAAAGGGATACTACGAAAGATATAATCTAATAAGAAACAATTGTTATTTTTATACTTTTTTTTTGCATAAAATAACTTTATCTAGACAATAAAAAGAACATATCAATATTTTAGGAAATTATATATATATATAAATTGATTTATATTTAAATTATTATTAACTAATATCATTCAACCCTCCTGTTGTATAAATGGATTTTGTATTGATTCCATGCCATCGACAGGACAAATAAGTACAACTGAAGTTCCTCTGCAAACTGTCAAACCCAACATACGTGTGTCTTGATTTAATTTGTAAGGATCATCAGGATCTGTCAAATGAATTAACAACCACATTATTAACTCATTAAACTACTAACACACTACTAACTCATTAAAAGTATTAATTAAATAATTAATACTATTGTGTACTTACCCCTAAGATATTCAGTAGTATTATCAAGCACTAAATTCAAAAGTGGATCATAACCTTTTAAAATACCTGCAGCTTCTCTACCCCCTGCAAATTTGACTCTGATATTTTTTTCTAAATATTTTGACAAATCTAGAATACTTTCTTTCCTTTTCTTTTCCTTATGATCCCCATGAGCATTTTGTTGCTAAAATTCAAACAGAAAACGTTGAAAATACCAAATAATAATAGGTTATGTTATCCTATTATTTTTATTGTTTAGTAGTTTAAAAAGAGACAGCAAAATATATTTAAATGGAAGATATAATTGTATTTTATAAATTTATTATTAATTATATATAAATACTAACCGACATTTTGGCGATAAATAATAATACAAGTTAATACGTAGAAATTAATTCTTTACCGCCTAGAATTAACCGACATGACAGCGATATTCTACAAACTCTCTGATTGGTTAATCGCAATTTCGATTATCGAAATAGAAATTTATCGAACTTTCGATTAATTGCATCGAAATTTGAAATTATTTTAAAATTCGGTTTAATGACATGTAACAAATTGTATCAGTGCAGGCAATTTTATTATAATATTTTAATTATTGATAATTAAATATAAATATCGTCAGAGTAATTCAAGGTAATGAATTGTTTCAGATAAAATAATGCATCGTTTAAAAGTTTCAATATTTCATTTAATTCTTACCTCTAATATTTAAAATAAAATATTTGAATTTTTTGTCTTTCTAGAAGAACATTGAGAGATAGATAGATAGATAGATAGATAGAGAGAGAGAGAGAGAGAGAGAGATCATTGAATTTATTTTCAAAATGATTGTTACTTATACTATCAATGTGATAACTATATGAATTAGTGTATATAATTTAATATAATGAAAACAATTTCGTAAAAGCTTGGATTTATTCATATTTGACATTATAAAAAAATACATGTTAATACATGATGTGTGTGTTGTGTGTGTGTGTGTGTGTGTGTGTGAATGATGCAATATGATAAAAGTGTGTATTGTTGTTCTTTTTTTTGGGGGGGGGGGATAGATCTGAGTACTTTATAATAATTGCTTTTTAACGAATGTTCATTACAATCTATGATAACATTTTCAATTTTGCACATGGCACAATATGGAAAAAAAAAAAAAACCACTTTTCTCTAACTCTTCAGTGTTTTGTCGATCACTTTGGTTTCTTTCTTTCTTTCTTTCTTTCTTTCTTGCATATACATCAGACATTATTTGAAATAAAAGTGTACAATCAATTATGTACATAATATGACCTTGTGCTTGCTAGTAGTTGCTGATAGTATTTAACAGTGTAATCTCACTCTCTACACCGCTGACGGAATTAACATTGTACGTTGACTTTTTTTTGAATATGATAATTATTCACCCATTCATTTTCTTCTTCATCATCATCATCATCATCATCTTCTTCATCTATCTGCTAGTTTATCTTCAATCTTAATTATTATATTGTCCTGAATCATTAATTATTTTCTCTGGCTGGCTGCATGGATGGACATTATTATTGTATTGCTAAAACTAAACAATATTACAAGCATCGCCAAGGAATTTGAAGCCTGGAAACAAATTCTTATATCTTATATCTTAACTTTCCTTCTTTTGTTTATTGTTTATTCTCCCTTATTAAAAAAAAAACAAGTTTCGATGTATCGAGATTGTATATTGGCCAAAAAAAAAGGATTTTGTTATACTCAGTAATTATATTGACTATTTCAAAAATCTACTTCACATTATGAGACATATACATTAAATTGCGTAGTTTTGAAATTGTATAACTTTGCTATATGATAAGTGGGATTTGTTGAGAGAAAAAAAAGAAACAACAACAACAAAAATGTCATTTAAATATATCTGTTGGCAATGGTAATAATTGCATTACTATTATTTGCTCCAGTATGATGTAAAGAGAGATAATCTATCCTGTGTTTAATGAAGCCTATAGTAGATTAATGTTACGAGTACTAAAATAATTTCCTGCATAACATTATATAACAACGTTATTTTATTATTCCTTTTTTTTCCTTTTTCTTTTTCTTTTTCATATCTTATTTTTGTTTTGTTTTCTTTTTCTTTTTCTCTTCATTCCAGCCACATCGAAAAATATGTAATTAAATGTTCTTTTTTTTTTTTTTGTTTTTTTTATTAGGGCATGGAGATGATCGAACGTTATTAATTATGAATATCTTATTTTCTTTCTTTCTTTCTTTCTTTCTTTCTTTTATTTTCGTTTCAGATTAATCAAAAATATTATCATCGTCATGTAGCTTGACGATTCTCTTCTTGTTCAGAAAGCAGTGGAATACCATTGGTTAATTGTTCACCATTATTATTTTCTGTTTCATCCTGCTCCGATAGCAAAGGAACTACTTGTTGATTGTTATTATCCGTTTCAGATGGCCGTCTACTTTGTCCTGGTAAAAAGGACATTGGTATTGTACCGGATGGTGTTGTAGGCGCTGATCGTGATAACCATCGTTTAGTTTTATTTCTTGAATTTGGCAGTCCTAATGGCATATACATTTTTCCACGCATTCTTCTTGTTCTATATGATCCAACATCATTTGGACTTAAAGGCCGTTGTTGTTGTTGTTGTTGTTGTACAGTACCATTTACATTATTAGTATGGAGAAATTGAGGCTGATTTTGAGAAGGCAAAAGTGTGCTATGGCCGCTAGGTAATTGTGGTAGTTGTTGAATTTTGTCTAGCAACTCACGTAGCTAAAACAATTCAATATATACATTTTATTATTCATAATGATAAATTAAACTACTAAATTTAACAATATATTTCATTATAATTACCTCTATTGTAGGACTGGTAGCCCTTGGCGGTGAACACGGTGACTGAGCTGCTAAACTCGATATGTCTGATGTTGTTCTATGATTAGCCAACGAAACAACTGACACAACATCTCCATTTTCTTCTCTTCCGCATTCAACCGCTGATAATTCATCTGCACTGTTGTTACAGGAGTACGGTGGTGGAATAATGGTGTTAGCTTCGTTGACAACATTGCACATAAAACTTGAACTCAAAGAATCCAACGTGCTCGCATGGGACAATGATCTAAAATACCGCATAACAAATCCTGATGTTCCCTTTCCATTACTCTCATCGTATCCGATAACCAGTGGATACAAATCTGGTTTTGCGGTAACCTAAACGATGATTACAAAATATTGGTAAGTCTAATGATATTAAAAAGATAATTGTATCTTGAGATAAACAGAAAATGAACATACTTCATTATAAGGTGGTGGTAACGCTTGCACAAAAGAACTGCAACGACTATAATGCGGTGGAGGAAACCAAGGACCTGTAGATGCTCTGTCAGAAGAACCACAGTCTTCTATAATAGCAGAGCGTCTTCGTTTCCATAGCCAGCAGCCAAAAATAGCTGCCACAGCTAAACCTGAGAGTACTGCTGCCCTGAAGAAGACAATATGGAAATAATATTGAAAAGTAAATTTGTTTAGATTTTTGTCAAGACATAAGGTAAGAATATTTAATTACTAACCATAAGTACCAATAAGTCCAAATCAGGAAATTAATCATTCCTGACAAATGAGAGTGCACTTGCGGAAATACTCCGTAACAACAGCCGAATGAGCAGCAATATTTCGGAGGAGAGCAACTAAAAATATAAGAAATTATTTTTTACAGACATAAATCAATCATGCAAAACATATTATTATATTTCACATTAAAACTTACACATGCCCCCCATCGCATAGTTTAGAAGAGGCCTTGAAAGATAAAATAAAGAAATTATTGATTTTTCTAAAATAGAATATTACTTAAATTTAAATATAAATATAAATAATAATCTAATTAATTACTACAATGTAATAAATCTAACAAGAGAATATTATTAAATCGATATAAAACACGTTAACGGCAAATGAATTTGATCGTTACGTTTGGCCCCGTTCGTTGCGATGAAGATTTGAAGGAATAAACAATCTCGAGAGTTTAGATATTTTAAAACTCTTTAGATGTTCATTTTATATGAATCAAGTGAAGATAGAATGAAGACAGAATGACGACAATGAAGGAAGGTATCGTTCACATAGAACGTAATAAAGATAACTTACGTATGAATGAAAAGTACATCGAGTAAGAGTTCATTGTCTAGCAGAACTGTGCGTGAAACCGACGTATTGATCGACGTCAAGTCGAAGGGAATACGATAACGAGAGGAGACGTCGTGGGTGAGAGAGGATATGCACTAAGTTCCTACAAATCTATATCATGTAACAGAGTTATATGTTTTGGCTGCATCATTATGGAACACTGCGCTGTTCTTACTTGATCAACGAACAGTAGTGTCAGGAGTACGCTCGGCACAACCACACCAAACACGCGGCCTGCACCTTGCACCATAATTCTAACACACATACTGCACGCCGTCGCGTTTCAATGTATTCCTGCACACGCTATATATATCTATATATATATATATATCACTATCCTTTTCATTCCATATATATATATATATAGACATATTGTATAATTGCGGAATATATTCCAATAATTAATGTACACGATTTACTATTTAAATAAAACAATGAAGCTCTCTTGTTAATTGATTAAAAAAAAAAAAAAACAATGAATTAAATATCTTTCAAAATACAATAAATAATATTATTTATTTCAGATACGATGTTGCACAAGCAGAAATTAGTTAAAACAATTGTCAAAACAATACATTGTCGTTGTTTGAACGTATATTTGGAAAGATCATTAAGTATTCAAAAAAAGAAAAGCAAATAGAAGAACGCGAGTGTATTTAAAATTAGCGCGTTGCGCTAGACACGTTGATTGGTCAGTTGCATAGAAATTGGATCTCCCACGCTGTTTTCGTCATTGGATTGAACGTATTTGATTGGTTGCTGTGTTCTGTTACGAGACGGATAGGACTTCGGTGAAGTCGTCGTCAGACATCGTAATCGTTCGCGCAGCTCGCAGTAACGCGGCGTGAGTGCGTGAGTAAACTTAAAGTAAGTAAGTAAGTAAGTTATGTTGTATAATAGACGTGTGTCGTCGGTCGAGTTGCGCGTGAGAAAGAGATAAAGAGTGAAAGAAAGAAAGACAGAGAGAGAGAGAGAGAGACAGACAGACAAGGACATGTGTCGCGGTACGAAAAAAGGGCGCGCTTACGAAATCTCATGTATTTCGTGTGAATACTAATGAAATTATATTATGAAGATATTCAACGTGAACAATCATTGGATTTTTTTACAAACTTACCAAGAAGAAACATTGAATTCTAATAACGTCATGATTTTCTTTGGTGCAACAAGAAGATGGTATCAAAATTCGATTCGAACAAGATGAGAGTTTTGTAAAAATTAATATAAAGGTTCGTTAAATTTGAATATTTTTTTTTTATAATATTGTTAAAAGAATTATAGTATTTATTATTGTTCAATATTAAATAATATTTATTATTTATATTATTTAAATAACAATGATTTGCTGTATAGCAAACGTTTATAAAAACATAATTTTATATATTATTAATTAAATTACAATTTGAAAATGAAAATACGTCATTTTTAATTATCTTATTTAAATAATATAATATGTGATATATATGTTATAAAAAAATTAATAATTGTTATATATATATATATATATATTTATGATGATATAATTTGTATGTTTTTTTTAACGATTAAATCTTTATGAGCGTAATTGACGCTTTAGATCAAAGCTTTTAATCTGCATTAGTATTTTTTTTTTTTTTTATTTCTTTCCAAGGTGTATGATAGTATGATACAAATATTTATCGACATATTATAGTATAGTTCTTTAGTTGTCATAGAGTATATAGAAACAAACACTCTCATAAGTATATGACCCGTTTTATTTCATTCTATCGATAATACTCAGCTCGTTCCGCGACTTTAGTTCAAACTGTCTATCTTTTTCTCTTTCTCTCACATTTCCGCTTATTTTTTTTTTTTTTCTTTACATAAACTTGTATTTTTCTTATATATATATATTTTTTTGCATTCTTACATACTTTATTATCAACGAATACTTTTATACGTTTATATATTCCTAGAAGATTGTTTCCTTCTCGCTGTTTTCCCATTAATTCGTCAGCGTACATCCGTAAGATAATAATGTTTTATGATTGTGTGTGTGTGTGTTGTATTTTTTTTTTTTTCGTACAACATATAATCGACAATGGAATAAACTTCCTTTTGCTAACAAATAATATTAACCATTTGAACATCATTCATTGAAATATGTAACAAATAATAGATTTATTGTAAAATGTTTTTATTTTTTTTTTTTTCCATTGCAGCGAAATCGCGTTATCCTTGATCCAAGACTTTAATCAAATTAGGTAACTCATTGGATCATGAGAAACCATTTAACTCGATCAAACCATTAACTTGAAATAGAAAAATAGAAAGAGAAAATCAAGTAAAATCCAACAACAAACATTGAACATTAACAATCTTACTGTATAAAAAGATGAACACAAAAGTATGTAAATGTAATTATCGACAAATCTCATAACATTGATTTGATTAATAATGAACATGTATTATTTTCATTGAAATAATCACGTATTGTACGATTTGTACAGTTTGATTTTTATATTTGCATCAAATGATCACATTAATATGTTGACAATTTGTAAAACAATAAATGAAAATTCTTTTTTTATGATCATATTTTCATTTATAGGATCGCGTGGGTGTCGCGGACAGAATAAAGGTAGACGCATTGCTGCCAGGTGTAAAATAAAAGCGGGAGTAACCCTCCGGTTTCAAAGTGCGTCCGAGCAGAACGCAACTCGAGCTTTTCTCTTTCTTTCTCTTTCCCTGTTTCATTCACTTTTTCTCTCTCTTTATCTCTCTCTCTCTCTCTCTTCTCACAATGTCAGCTGGGCCAGTCGTTTGTTAGTTCTTTTGTGTTTCGTCAACCGCGACTGGAACGTCGCATGGTATAACTCTCTCGTCAAACATATTGGTTATTACCATAAGAATTTTTCTTCTACGTTTGTCCAAACTTTCTTTATTCTTCTTCTTCTTCTTCTTCTTCCCTTTTATTCTTTTTTTTTTTTTTTGATAATGGACTACATCCCGAGATACATTTCAATAGAATTACCATATCTTTTTCTTTTTGTATGTGTGTGTGTGTGTCGGACATATTAAATAAAAGAAATAATTAACCCTTTTGTGTATGGAGGAGCAATTCTATGAAACCAAACAACGATACCATCACTTCAATTTAGTTTAGTATTATATCGAATATTCAATTTTTGTTTAATTATAATTGTTGGCCCCCTCCTGTTCGGGAATTGGGCGTAGGTCTGATCACCCCACTACGTAAAAAAACTTTCTTTCAAGAAACAAAGAAAACCGCCATTGAATGGCAGGATTTGGTATTTGCGGCAATGAACTTTCGAGTTTCTATAATGTCAGTTAATAATATAATATATATATATATATAATATAATTGTTATATTGGACATACATTAATTTAAATTTATAAAATACATTTTAATATTATCAATCGTAAGTTTAATCGAATAGAAATTGTTGATGATGGGTTTCACATTGAACGTGTATTTAAAACATTGCTTTTAATATCTTTCTTTCATAGAAAAATCTATCATTATTTTTCTAACATTTTTCTTTCAATAAATGAAGTTGAATATAATAAAAGATAAACAACTGTGAAAGTATATTTATGAGTAATGGTATAGGAACAACGTTAGGAGAAGAAAGTAAGATGCTATTTAAGATAATATGTTCGACTGTTGGTTGGGAACGACTTTACAATGATCCTGTTATTACTCGAATGTAAACTTGTGTAAGTGCCCATCCTTTAAAAAAGTATAATAAAAATTTTGTATGATGTAGGAACACAGAAAAAAAAAAAAAGAAATATATATATATATATACACCCATTATCAATGTTTCAACCGTGAACTTACTCACGAGGACAAACAGTTTTTATCTTCTTCTTCTTCTTCTTCTTCTTTCTTGTTCTTTTTTTTCTTTATTTTATCTTCCCATTTGAAAAAGGGTTGTACCGCATTCTGTAAAAAAGAATGTTATACGAAATTTAATGATTTATTTACTTTATTTTGTAGGTATATTCATATAAGAGAATAATAAAAGAGATATAAGAGAGAAGGGTTATTTGAAAGATATCCGTAGAAGAACGCTCGGTTATTATAACCGACCGAATGACTTACGGTTGTGTGCATGCCAGTGACGTGTAGTCATCGTTCAATGGTTGATGGCGATAGCCCTTCGGTTGTGGACCCTATACTTAGTAGATAATCGACGCAATATACTGCACTTATTAGCGTTATAATAAGGCGAATGTTGAATCGGAACAAATTTTCAAGCTTTATCTTCTTTTGTTCGTAAGTAATCCTTTGTTGTCTCAACCCTGGTTAGGGCTCATCATTTTTTTGATATATATATATATATATTCATCAAAAATAATAATGTATCTATATATTTTAGGTATTGCTTTAATCAGGTATAGTCAGATATATTGTTTTATAAATACAATAAATTGTCTACGTTGTATTTCTTCATGTTGCATCGATTATTTATTGTTAATCAGATTGTTAATTTTGTCAATTTTATAATAATTATTTTTAAAAAAGTATAGGAAGAATTGTTCGGTTATATAAATCTGAAATAATTAGAAGTTCTATCGTCAGGGGATGTAGCTCAGTGGTAGAGCGTTCGCTTTGCATGTGAAAGGCCCCGGGTTCGATCCCCGGCATCTCCACATTTTTTTTTCTTTTTTTTCTTTTTCAAATATCCAAAAAATTCTTTATAACTAACATTGATACTTGTCATTCTCAATATATATATATATATATTTTTGTTTAAACAATATTAATTTTTCTTTACTAAATTTATTATTTAGAAAAATGGTGCACTATTAGGGAAACGTATGAAACTTAGATAGAATTCTTATAGTTTACGTTCATTTTTTTATTTAAAATCTTTTTTCTTTTTTCGTATCGATGGATTGCATTTTAGTTATGTCAAGTACCTGTAAAACTTTCTTTTTACGGAACGATGATGCAACGGCATATGGTGGGACACGTGCTGCGGAATAACAACCGGGTTTGCTCATACGTACTGGAAAATAATGTGCAAGGGGAGGAACGATCGGATAGGGTTAGCCTCTAGACTTTATCGTGTGTTCAATGTGCCTTTGCAAAGCAAGGGTTCTATGTATATTCATCAATATACGTATACATATATATATAAGTACGTAAAGTACACTTAACGCACGTGTGACCGAGTCTATGCATCGAATCTAACATCGTTCTGTTTCGTACTGAAAACTGGCATACACGAAATAGTTCTTTAATCACCAACTGACCAATTATAGAAAACGTTGGACCGAGACGAATTCCTATTGTTAAATAATAAACTATTGTTGTTATATTTCAAACGATACTTCTTGTTTTTTTTTTTTTTTATTCAATCAATCTGATGGATATTATTACAGTCCTATTTATGACACTATGCGTTAATATACTTATAACAAGATTATCGTATCAATTAATTACTATCCTTAGAATGTTTTAGATTGACAGAGTTAATCCTTGATTGAGATTAATCATTAAATCTAATTATATACGGTTACTAATTTCTTCTTTCTTTTACATTGTGATTAACTTTTATTGAAATAATGATTGAAGATTTGTATTTGATTTATAATAAACTCATATTTTGTTATTTTATTTTATTTTATTTTATTTTTTATAAGACACGTGCGTTCATTGCAGACGAATGACGAACGAACATTTTAGGTATAGTTTATTTTAAGCGTAAGGAGAGAAGGCAACCATAGAAGTATGAGGACAAATTAGCTATTAGTCGGTTCAGTTAACTTATTGGCGCCTACGGCTAAGACTTCTCACATTCCGTTTGGTATCTTCCGTTGAGGAATCGAATTCCTTTTCTATACCTTCGGTATTAGTTTAGTTAAAACATCTCTAACATTTTTCTTACTTTTTATTCAAACGTTAATTGCAATCCGTTGCAGTAACACAGGAGATGTTAAGAAAAAAAAAAAAAAGGAGAATACGGAGGGTTTATTCAATGACTAAAACACATAGTTAATACTTTGTGATAGTATGCAGTATACAAGTTCTTGGTTAACCACATTGAAATGCTAGTTGAGTACGCAATACTATTACCAATGTGCAATGCGTCATCCAAAAATACCTTTGTAAGAATGCTGTTAGGTTCCTTATATCTTGTGAATATATTCAATTAATTGAATTTAGAAATTTTCTTGATCAATTTATAATTGAAATGAATGAACATGTTTGTGGTAATTTTTTGTTTTTGTTTAACAAATGTTTATCATCATGTGCATACAAATATTAGGACAATTGTCAGAAAATATTGTTTTCGTTAGGAAGTATATTTTAGTCCATGGTTGAGGACTAAGATTGTAAATGATCTATGGGGACAGATGACGTCAGATGCCTTGGTTGGGATCAATCGAAGAGTCAAGTCGCGATAATTGCAGTAATCGCGCTTATAAATTAGTAACAGGCTCGTTTCTACTTCATCATCTTGTTTCAACTATTTATCTTTATCTTTTGTATAATGTAAACTAAAAATGCATTACCATTGTCATTAATTTAACTTTTGATCGGAATATCATTTGAAAGATGAAACTAATGAATTTCATTCTAATTGGATTGATTGAAAATTGCAGAGATATGCATCCTGATGCAATATTAATCCATTTAACGACGATAAAGATCATCGTGGGACAGTCAGACTTTTTCAATACCCACACACACATTCGATTAACGTGAACATTGGTATTTCGAATGGGAGTTAGCAAAGAGAGAAGAAAAACTAATCGTTTATCGGGGACACAATAATTGGCAAACCCGACGACTCGTATACTCGCTAAATCATTAATTATCTCGGAAATCAACAAGCCTTTTACCCTTGTGAAATATATTGAGACAATTTCTAACAGTCTCTTTTACTCTGATCGAATGTCTTTCATAAAATATTATTTAATGAATAAATCATTCGGGATGTTTTCAAACTCGTTCAGTTATATATAAATCGATTGATACTTGTTTCAATTAAAACACTGTGTATAGAAAATGAATTTGATTTCAAATAATTGTGATTAATCAAAGACATCTAATCGATTGATTGATTGATTATTATTCGTGTTTCAGATGGAGAATCAAGGATTTGAAGGAGAACAATATCGTAATAACGGAAACAATGGTTCTCTCATTAACACGGATTCCGGAATACATCCTGATGTTCACGTTTACGAGGACATTGGTCCAAGTCGTGAAGAATTTTGTCGAATTTCTTCTTCCGGATTCTCGGAAGAGGACTCAACTTATTCTAGAATAGAACAGAATGCACGTTCATTTCGTACTTCGAACTTTCTTAACGATACGATTGAAGGAATTCAATCGAATTCATCACAGTCGATTTATTTTCAACGAAATTTAACGTTGCCATTTCGTCGAGGACTTTCATCGTCAAATAATCCTTCCACGAGTTATTCCATTTGGGAAAAGAGATGGAAAAGTAGTAAAGAAAGGAAAGAACGTTCGTTTGATCATACAAATTGTTCTGATAATTCAGATAATACAAATTGTGCTTTATCAAGGCTACAAGAAGAGGATTATATCAGACCAAGTGAAAAACGTAGAAGAAAGGATTGCAAACATTGTAAAAATAATGAAAACTTTGTTAATTCTGAAAATCATGAAATGATAAATGATCATTTAAGTAGAGAATTATCTAATTCGTGTTTACAAACGGAAACAATTCTTTCAAAACGTAATGACAAGTTTCTTCCGCTTTGTCATACGTTGAGCAAGACTACAGAAGAATCCGAAGAGTCTGTAGGACAAAATTCTTCTTCCATTACGATATTTTCAATCTCCGAGAAGGTTCAACAGCAACAGCAACATCATCATCGTCATCATCATGAACAACAGCAGCAGGAACACTTACCATCAAGAACACTCGAGTACCTGCAGTACGATAGAAACGACGTTGAGACTAAACTCGCCCACGTGGTTGAGACCAACGAAGACAAGGCACTCATTATATCGAAAAGTAGTCAACCAAGTATGAGAATAAATTCGATTTACACCCAAGATCATTGGTATGCCAAGGAAGCTCCTGTATTTTACACCGATCTCAAAGAACCAACTGCTTTTCAGGTAAAAAACACAATTATTATTAGGTGTCTCATTTTAAATTTGATTTAATTTTATAAACAAAGTTACTTCAATCATAATAATATTACTGAACAGTTTGCATCATAGTTATTCTCGTTGAATTCATATTGATATTCTCGTCCCATTAAAAAATGTTGTTATGACTTCCGTATCATGACAACAGTGCCTTGTATGAAACACCTGCAGTAATTATTATACATTCTCACCTCAATGTCTATTAAAATTAATTAGAAATATTTTGCTTTTCAAAAATATCAATTAAAATCACGAATCGTAATATTTAAAACGAGACACCAGATATACAATTCGTATTTTTAGAAATAATTATTGATCCGTGTTGTTAAAAGTTAGTTTTCAAATGAAGTCAATTTAACTGTAAAAAAAAAAAAAAGAAAAAAAATTACTAATAATAAGAAAGACAGCTGATGACATAGTAATTAAAAGGAAGCCTCTTTTGAACATATGGAATAGTTCCAATGCACCACTTCTGTTAAAGTATAGAACTTAGTTCGACAGTTTACCGCAGTGTGGTGCATAGTAGATGTGCTATTCTCGCTAGTAAAACGTATGCAGTAAAACTATAAGTAGGAACTTGTGACTGAGGAAAGCATACTTACCTGGCGCAGAGGTTACCGTGATCATGAAGGCGGTTCCTCCAGGGCGAGGCTTTTCCATTGCACTTCGGTTAGGCTGACCCTTGCGAATATCCCTAATGTGGATATCTCGGGCGTATAATTTTTGGTAGTCGGGACTGCGTTCGCGCTGTCCCGGATAAATAAATTAAAAAATAAAATTTCCTCCAATCTAGCAATAAAAACCATCTTAGGTAAAATAAATAAAAATTTTTCTAAGATTCATTTTGAGGTTATAGATAAATTCAATTTTATTTCAACCCTTCTTTCATTTAATTGTAAGATGAATGAATACAGAGTTGGGTTATGATTTGAATAAATCTGATCTTAGAAAAAGTAGTAAATAAAACCTTTTCTTAAAATTTATTTTGAGGTTATAAATAAATTTATTTTTACTTCTTCAACTCCTTCCTTTCATTTGATTTTAAGGTGAATGAATGCAGAGTAAGTAGAGTTTTGGGTTTATAATTTGCAATCTTAAGTTAGAATTGAATAGGAAGGAATAAATCTGATCTTAGGGAAAATGAATAAACCTTTTACTTTTAAATTTATTTATAGGTTATAAATATTGCTTTTTATTTTAACACTCCCTCTCTCATATATTTCTAGATGAATGAATGTAGAATTGGATTTATAATTTGCATTTTAGGTTAGAATTGAATAAAGAATGATTAAATGTGGTGTGGAGAGGAAGAAATCTCATTCAATAAAAATAGTAACTTATTTATTTTATTTCTCAATGAATTTTAAATCTCCTCCTATATTTATTATTTCTTAAAGTGTCTCACTGGATTAATGAACCGAAGGATTAATTGCAGTATTGAATGAAATCCTCTGTACTCTTTTCCTATTCATCCTAACAAAGACTGACTTTGTGTTTTATGAATCGAATCTTTGTTATACTTGTTATTATCGATAACAAATTATGATTAGATGAGTATAAAAATAATCTCGGATAAAATTCTTCCCATACAATTTATCTCCCTTTGAATTTATTAATGAAACAGTTTTACTCTGACGTTAGGTATTTTTAGAATTTATTTGTGTTATATTTAATCAAGATTATATTTCCCACTACTCATCCCTTCTTCATTCAACACAACGTTTATTGAAGATGCATTAAGTATGAATAACGAAGAGATTTTAAGGGTCTCGTGGCTTTCATTCTTCTATCATCGTCACGTGTTACAACAAGGGGTTGCATTTAGTGTGCATTAGCCATCAAACACACAAAAGTGTGTGTGGTTCATAGTGTTACATCAGTTTTGCACACGTGCATAGTCCTCGTGTCAAGGCCTTTTACTAATAAAGGGTATACAATAGGAGAGAGAGATATATTCTGAAAAGGTTTGTGTGTCGAGTGTTGAATAAGTAAATTATTTGTTCATTTAATTACAATATAACTCTAAAACCTATTTTCTGTAGGAATTAAGGACACCTGTAAAATAAAACCACACCTATTTGTAAGAATATGAAATCCAACAAAATTGTACAGTATGGAAATTGCGGATTGGAAAAATGAGAATGGATAAACAAGTGAAGAGTTAAAAATAAAACTAATAAATATATATATACACACATAAGATGTAGGTAGATATGTATTAGTAATATCCTATAAAGTCAATGCCGTGTTCTTGCACGGTTTCAGTCTGTAAAAACGTAACACGCGACAGTCGTCCGGTCGATTCTTGACCGAAGAAGATGTGGCCGCTTTAGAATCTGGCTCCTACTCTTCTTTGCACTCTTCTTTTGCAAAAGAAACGAAAGGGAAACTAAACTAAACTAAACGGAGTGGAGCGGAAGTGGAAAATATCTATCTATAGCCAGACAGAGAAGTGTGGGCTGCTGGTGTGTCTGGCGGTTGTGAAAAGCTGCGTCGGCTCATCGACGGCAATCTCCAACCATCGGCTCGCGTTCTTCCAACAGTTTTAAAACACTATGTTGTTCAAAGTGATAATCAACGTTTTTAAATATTACATTGATCTTTATAATCAATAAAGATCATTTTGTTGACAAATAATAACAATCAAATATAACACATATATTGTGTATTAATGATTTTGTAGTTAGGGGAGAGAGAATGCAGTATCAATGGCCGAGCTCAAGGTGCAATGTGTAGATTTGTATTTTATTGGGGTACCAAAACGTTTTATACATTTCTAGAATTTTTCTATATATAATTTTATTTATTTATTTATTTTAATAGTGTACTTATATTATCATCATCATCATCATCATCATCATTCAATTCATTTATTCATTTATATTCATTTATTGTATTTATTATACTATTCCTATTGTTTTTGTTTATTTTCAGAGGGCTTATTCCCTCCCAGTACGAATGCAAACTCCTACATCACAAAATCGAGTCAACTTACGAAGAAGTGTACGTGGTGAACCACCACCAGATCCAGCAAGACTTCACAAAAGTCATCGTGGATGGACGTTACATCTTGCAAGACCATTAGAAGGATCTGGTTGTAACAGATCTTTGATATTCTTATTGGTTTTAATATTGATACTACTTGGTGTTGGTGCTGCTGCACTTTATATCGTTTTCGGTTAGTTGTTTGATTTTATTTCGTTGATTATTGACGACATATTTTATAATTTCGAGGAGGGGAGGTAGGATAAAAAAAATGTTAAATCTACACTTTGATTCAACGAAGCTTACCAATTGGTTCTAGTAGATGAATTTAACCGCTGGGTCAACAGAACCATTTCCTTTAACTACCTCTCCCTCTTATTCGTTTCCTTCTTTTTACCATCTCAATCTTTTACGATCAAGTTAAAAGTACAGTCAATGAAAAGAGATGTTTAGTTGTCTTTATAATATCGTTCAACTTATATTTTCAGAACCGCAAAAATTGCAGATTATTCAATTGTATTTGAAATCATCGACGAACGGTGGAAATTCATCGTCGCAAAATGTCACGTCCGATGAAACGTTTAATCAATTTTTCTCTAACGAATCGAATGAAATTGATTCGTCGACTGTGAGAACAACTACGAGTACCGTTCCAATGACCGATGATGTATTTTTAAACGTAGATTTATCGTTAACCGATGATGATGATGATGATACTTCATCCTCAGTGATCACGAAAACGGAAACGGAAGCAACCAACGTTGATCATGCGAATACTAATTCCACGAGATATTGCGATGACTGCTTAAGTGGAGAGGTCTGCGTTGGTTTGGTCGATGAAGAAGTACCTATTTGTAGAATCGGTTTGGATCCTGATGATCCAACAGGATGTGCTGGTCTGTGTCTTATCAACAAGCAAAGATGTCATCGTCTTGACGTCGATGCTTTTAGGTACACACATTATTTTGTTTTTAGAATTTACTTATATCCAATCTTTTATTCTGGGATTCTTTCTAAGAAGAATTAGAACAATGCATGTAAACTATTTTTTCAAAAAAAAAAATACAGTCAGAGATAAAAATATGTTTAACGTGAATTAAACTAATTTTTGTTTAAACTTGTACTTTGGTATTTTGTAGGAAATATATTGAATTATTGATATAATTTAATTTTCAATCTATTTAGATAGTTTAACAAAAAAAAGTTAGGTTATTAGAGTAACCTAATAATCTAATAATTAATAATTATTACTATTAGTTATTATAGTAACTAATAAGTTAATATAGTATAGTATTAGTTACTAATAACCTAACATTTGTATCTAAAAACCTTAAAAACATATTTTTTACTTTATTTCAACATTTTATATTTACATTTTTGTTCTCATTCATATATTTTTGTATTATTATTWTTTTTTTTTTATTGCAGATGCGTTGAGATAGAACATTATTGTTTGGACGACGAGTGGACATGTTTGAATACACTTTGTATTCCCATGGAAAAACGTTGCGACGGTCATATGAATTGTTACGATCATTCGGACGAATATAATTGTGGTTAGTATATATAAAATAAAATTCAAAGGATTGATTCGTTTTTTTCTTTTTTTTTGAAACATATCCTCGTGTTTGACCGTATTAACCTAGTTTTCTTTTATGATCTACAAATTTGTATTTATCGGCTTGCCTAGTTTTACATTGGTGCTTTGCGAGGCTTCTGTGTTTCCAATTTTTGTTTGTTTGTAATAAAGTAAAATAATGTCGCTTTTTAACCACACAATAAATTCTTCAAACAATAATTAAATCAATTAATCAAGTTATAAACAATCTTTCTTTTTTTTTTATATATGGTATGCAAAATTTGGAATATCGTAACGATACAAATCATCAATCGGTTTTTTTTTTTGATTTAAAATATTAGAAATAATTTGGCATACGTAGTAACGACATTACTACGTTAATAGTAATCATCCTAATATATTACAATATTTATTTATTAAGTAATTGGTTTTTTATATGTAATATTAATTAATATTTTTATTAATATTTTTAGTTTGCGATTCGATGACGCATTTTCAATGTGGCAATGATACTTCATGCCTTCCATTGGAAAGGAGGTGTGATGGTAGAATAGATTGTTGGGATGCTAGCGATGAAATTAATTGCACATTAGGTAAGTAATATCATTAGTTTGTTTAAATAATTATTAAATATTATTATTATTTATAATTAATTTATATAACGGCACAAATATTTGTGGATTATTTGTTTTTTTTTCTTTTTTTTTTTTATACAAAAATATATTTGAAAATACGATGATGACAATTATAAATTAAATTGTTAACCGGAGAATTTCATGTTTAATTACGCAGCCATCTTTATTATTTATGTATCATTCTTTATATATTTATTTATTTATTATATAAGATACGTAAAATACGTTTTTGACGTATTTATACGTCCCGCCCGATATTAACAGGTTAATAATATAATAAACAATTATTTTTATTGATCATCCAATTTTCAAATTAATTCATTATTATAAATATATTGTAGTACGATCACACGTAAAAGAATAAAAGCTTGTGTAGTTCTTATTACTTTTTTCTTTACAGTAATTTAGTTCTCCATTTTGAAATCTATATATATATATATAATACATTTCTGTATTTACTGTATGTTCCTACTATTTTTCTTGTTTTCTTTTTGTTTCAATATTTTATAAATATATATTTTTCACCATCTATCTTTGATTTGTTTTCTTCTTCGTAGGTCATAATCTTGGTCGGTGTGAGTACATATCGGTATTTTGAATGCACTAATAAAAAAAAATAAAAAAAAAAATAAAAAATAACTTTTGCATGTAATTTGTTTACACTTTTCCTGTAATATTTAATATAATATTGATTTTTGCATGATTATATTATTATTTTAACAATAATTTTTACATCAAAGTATTAAGGGGGGACTGAAAAGTAATGTCTATTACTACGTATGTCAAATTATTTCTAATATTTTAATCAAAACAATGATTGTGATGATTTTTATTCGTTACGATATTTTACAAATTTTGTATACCCATTGTTTATAACGTGATTAATTAATTTAATTATTGATTAATAATAAAAATTTATTTTTGTTTAAATTTTGAGGTTAAAAAGCGACATTACTTTCTGGTCAATCTAATATTTAAATAATTATAATTGCATATTATTCATTTATTATAATTGTTTCTTTTTTTTTTTTTTAAATAAATTATTTCATAATAATAATAATAATAATAATAATAATAATAATAATAATAAAATATTTATATCTTAGCTTGCCCATTGGAAAGCGAATTTACGTGCAGTAATGGTCAATGTATATTAAGGGCACGATTTTGTGATGGTTTGGTTGATTGCACCGATGGATCGGACGAACCACATGGATGCGAGGGTCGATGCAATAAGCACGAATTCACGTGCCAGTAAATAATACTTTGAAATTTTTTCATTTATTAAATAATACATCACAGTGTCTCTTGATTTATACAGTAAAAAAAWRAAAMAAWMAAAAWWAAAAATAAAATTGAGAATGGGAGAAATGTGATTTGAAATAAACGCTGATTTTATTTTTAATTTCTAATAAATTGAGGGACAAGTGTTGTTGTATTTGTTTAATAAATTATTTTATACAATTTTATATATATATATATATATATATATATAT